CACACACACATACCAAGCAGGGCTAACTACACCAGTTTTGCCTACCGCAAAAAGCGTACGGGCAAAGTCGTGACCGATTGAGTGACTAATTTACGTGGACCACGCTAAACCCAAACAAACGAATTCAATCACCTCATCAATTTCAATCTGCCTTACCTGATCAGGCGTGCACTAACGCGCCAAGTATTTTATGACAGCTTACCTTCTGCTGTGCATTATTCATAGAAAAATGCGAACAACGAAAAGATGGGAACCTTGAGTGGGATAACTATTCACCAACCATTCTTTGGCAATATAATCAAAGTTAGTCACAAATCCGCACGCAATCATACACACTGATTTATCTATCTGGCCACGATGCGCTATGTTCGAGGTAACGTCTGTCATAAGATATGTACATATTTGTGTCATTCCACACGGTTCCATCGCCCCCGTATCTAATCCAGGTCTGAATCGCATATTGTTAGTGATCATTATCAGCATGGAACCGCATGTGCAAGTACAATTGTATCTTCTCATTGTGATAACCTTACCCAAAGCAGCGTTTTCTGTTCGTGGATGTGTGACTTATGTGGCTGGGGAGGATTATTCAATGCGTCAGTCTATTTGTGACAAACCGGACACTCATTTCACTACCATTCCAGCCGCGTTACCCAGTCAAGTGGTCAAACTGACTGTGAATCATCAGGACATCACGGAACTGAATTCCACACAATTCAAACATTTGCCCAATCTGACCTATCTGGATCTGGATTCAAACAAAATTGTTCGCATTCATCCGAACACGTTTCATGTGTTGAAGCATTTGCAGACGCTGAGTCTACGATTCAATCTACTCATATTCAGTGTGGATTCCTTCCATCCGGATGTAACTCATGGACTAATCGGATTAGAGAACTTGAACCTATTGCAAAATCCAATGGGATATGTGCCCAAAAGGATCTTTGCTCCCATTGGGTCCAGTCTACGATCTTTGGTGCTTTCTGGGGGATCTGAGGATTTTCAGTTAGACCCCGGAGCCCTGGATGGTTTGACAATGCTTCAGCTGTTAGATTTGAGTTACAACCACTTGGAAAGCTTGCCGGAATCGTTTGAAAGCACATTGCACCATATGCAACTGAAGGAACTCTATCTATACGGAAACCCATGGCGTTGTGATTGCAATTTGCGATGGCTGAAAGTTTGGTTTCTCAAGTACAACTCTAAACTGATCTACTCGAGACCAGTGCCTGAGGGTGTGAATCGGAATCTGTTAGATCCCAGTGCACAACGTTGGTACGATTACAACTATGATGGAACTGGTGATGGACCGTCTTTGCTTCAGCCTCGTTGTGCTTCTCCATACGCTCTTTTTGGACGCCCTCTGTTCAGTCATCAAACCCTGGCCGGTTTGCAACCCGTTCGAACCACGGACTTTCATTGTCTTCCGCAAGCCCTTACCGCAAATCAACCTGTTCAACTTACCCTGGGCAGTAATGCCACATTGACCTGTGAATTTTTTGCCGATCCTACCGGTATTGTGGTGTGGTATCGTAATGGCACATTGATTCAACAACGTTGGGCACGTATGAGCATGCATCAGACCACCGGACGGACATTCCAAGCGGAACTAACTGTACAGGACGTGCAACCGAGTGATGCAGGCACATATGTGTGCTTTTTGGATACAGGGCACGGACGCGTGAACACGACATTTTCTGTCCAGGTGAACAGCGATGATCAAACTGTGTCTTCTAAAATCAAGGAGGGCGTATTTCGATGGATAAATCGCCTAAATACAACCCTGGTGTTAAAGTATACCGGAATTATTGCTTCATGTTTGATTATGCTGTTAATGATAATAGGGTTATTTATATATTGTTTCTATGGCAAACGGAACAGGCTGTCCAAACCCCGTTTCGATCGAGAACGTATGTCCAATCAGGTTGAACCAGATGTCCAAATGAATAATGATTCTCCGATCAAGTCTCAAACGAACGCAGGGACCTACGATTTTCTACCACCACGACCATCTGTCGTAGCTCCACAGTCCTCATTAGTTAGAAGGGAAAATGTGCCTGTCGACATTAAGGATAACAATATGCGTGAAATGCAGTTGATTTCACCAACAAATGAAAAGATGGATAACTATGTGACATTTCGTATTCTACCTACCGATTCCAAAAATGATTTACCTCAACGCTGTTCCGTGCACAACTATGCAATCATTCACCCAGTTGGTGCAGATTCTGTTCTGCTCGACAGTACAAATCCCCGGCTAATCCCCCTACCTTCCGCCGCTCAGCTCCTGGTCAGTCCTCCTGCAATGCCGGCCCCGATTGCACACACAGACCAATCACACTTATTGGTTTTCAAAGAACCTGAACGTAACCTTACGAATATGGAACTGTCTGGTATTATACAACCGCCTGGTCCGGTGCTATCGGATGCACTTGTTGCAAATACATCCACATCAGACCTTACGCCATGTCCTCTGCATGGTCACATATATGCCACATTGCATCCACATCAATCAGATCGGCGAGATAATGTAGAAAGTTCAAAAAGGCATATAGCCACCATGCCTGCTGGTCTGGGCTCGGTTCACGAGAAACGGACCAGTACTTTGCCCAGTAGGAGAAAATCCCCCGGAGCCGGTGGGGGGTCTGGATTTGCAACAGCTGCCACAAGCACCACGGCAAATTTGGAAGCATCTGAGGGAACAAACAGATTTGGGGCATTAAATGCTTCTTCAACCCCTGATATCGCTGTGATCAAACCCAAAACGAATGGGCCGGCAGTCAAATCAACGGATAATAACCATGACCATGATGAAGTCGCATCCTGACATGTGCTACGCGATGAATAACCGAAGCAGTATATTTAACTTTGTCTGCAAAAAGGCTTCAAACAATCAAAGAGTGTGTTAGTACACGGAAGCCGGCCCGACGAAGACCTTTATTTCGTTTCCTTCCTTGCTCTTTTTTACGGCAACAAGTATATAGTTCGTCACAGATCACTTTTGCTGGACAAATTGTAATCCATGGACACTCAATGATAACCCACTACGGACAGAAGGAACAGAGAAAGTGAGCCAACAGAAAAGGAAATATTTGTTTTTTTGTTTTTCTGAGAAAATTCTGTTGCTATTGTCCCCTTCCATCAATGCTGCGTGATAGCTAGCCAACCAGGTAGATGTCCATGTCAGACCCCATAGCCAGAACAATGAGACGTTTGGGAATACAACAGTTGAGCTACTGACCTGTCTAACATGTCTGAAACTGAACTGCTCTTTCGCCTTTTACCGTTTCCTTTTCGCCTTTCTAACTCCTCAATTTGATCTCGTCAACTCCGATTGCCGGAGTTCTAGCCGGTGTCGAACCAACAGTATAATAACCAGCTCCTTTCTTGTTCCCACGCATCTATCACCTCGCTAACTGACCGCTTCAGATTGACAATCGAACGACACAAACTATTCACCATTCACCCGAAATTAAATACATTTGTACTGGCAAGAACAGAGATGTACAGAACACCATAATCAGAAATAAAACAGAAAGATTAATCATTTAATTCATACTCAATTTGTGTTTCAAAAGCAGCTGTCATTGGAATCTTTGGGAATTTCAGATACTGTTTAGCAAATCTGGTATATCCAGGATGCAAGCGAACGCAGTCACCAACGTCAAATTCTCAAAAGAAGGTGAGCGTGGATATACTCCCCAAGGAAACTTTAAGTTAGCCTAAGGTGAAGTATGAGTGTTAATCGGTATTGCATCATCTTTTTGAGCTGCGTCCTTTTTTACGTTAAATGTTTCATGTATTTTAATCATGTCTTACAGAACAAATTTGGGTCGTTTGAACAGTTTCTGCCCTAGCTCTCTGATAATACGCAGAAAAACTAGGGAGCAAAAATTAATCAATAAATCAATCATCAAACAAACGCGGGAAATGTCGCAATTTACTTGGATGCAAACTAGTTTCGTCTGTCTTTTATATTATTTACCAGATTACGTTTGAAACTGTGCAGGTTTTGGTGCACTTCTTAGGAATCAAACATTTAATAAATTCCTTCCCCTTACGAAGTACTTCCAGTATTCACACGGGCAATTGTTTAGAAACTTTGTCCTAAATTTCTCATAATAATGATAGTTGGATAGATAAATTAAAAAGCAAGTTGGGCGTGAAGAAAACGATTGCCAACTCTTTTTTCTTCATTTTCTATGCTTAATTTTATCCCCAAATATCACAATTCCAGGGAGACTCAGAAATCTGGGGCATCAAGTTCTTTTCATTTCCTGGTCACATATTTTAAAAGGCCTAGCTTATTCATTCTTGCTTATTTTCAGTATTTTGTATTTCCCCCGGAAAATCGAGTGAAGTTTGAAAAGGAAAATAAACTGTCGAGATTGTTAGCATTACACTACATGAAAAATTGTAACTCCAACTAATACTCCAACTAATATTCGCCTAAGCTGAATATTGCTACAAGTTTTTAGTGTATTCAAAACGAATTTAATGGAACAACACATCAGAATCGATTACCAAATCACTTGGATGACTACATGTTTGTTCAATGTAGAAGATCATAGCTATTTTCTAGTGGATCATAGCATTATTGCTTCATAGAAATCAAAGAAACACATTGCTTTATGGTCGTTCTAAAAGAGCACAAAATGTCTCGCAGAAAGGTTTACAACAAACTAAAACAAACATTGTTCGCACGTCTTGGGTCAATTGACCCTAACGTCGTCATCGTTAGTTACAAATTGCGCAAATCACATGACTTGGCCAGGCAGATTTTGACGTGAGGGTTGGATTTTTTTCTACATTTTCCCCTTGGATATGCATCGACCCACACACGTGGTGATGCGCAGTGCGATGCATGATAAACGTAGAATTGACAGTCCGGCCAAAGAATATGAGTGACCACAATAAAATACGGGTTTGTGGAACTCTTATTCACATCTTCACACTAGACGGTGAACGGAAACAGTAAGCGCATACTGCGTGTGTGAACAAACTATAAAACCCGTGATTTTTTAAGAATTCTGCGACCGACGGTTATATTCTCGTGCCGCTCACCTGTCCCAAGCTTAGCTATCAACTATCCACACCTTGCAGTTGAATTTATTTTTGTTCTTCTGAACTAGAGAAGTCGATTTTTTGCAAAAGTCCTTGACCAGAAAGAGAACCAAAGACCCAGCTAAAGTTATAAATATCGTTTGCATTGGTGACAAGCTTCACGTTTGTGAGGTAAACACGTAATTTACACAAACCAATTATCGATTTTTCTCTTTCAGAGCGATGACCGGTTTCCAGAAAAAGAAAATCCGTTATAGTTCTTTCCCAAAGAAGGGAAGTTTCAACCCTAACAAGTGAATAATTTGCCAAACACCAATATTCTGTTAAAGCGATCATGAGAACGATTCTTTCATGGTAATAGTTAATTACCGACACGGCATAAGTTAGTAACAATTAGTAAACAATGCGTTTTGGCAATGAAACACCTCGGTGGTGAAAATGTAGACTGGTAACCGAAATGATTAGTCGCACATCGCAGTTTTGTTAGCCCATTCAGGCCATATCTTGTTACTTCAATCCAACACGTATATATACCCATGATGTGGTGCACTCGGTAATTCTAGGCACTCCCATGTGTGTAAGAATATAAAGGTTTAGAAAACCAATTGTGTTTGAATCGTTCGTCATATTTGTGAAACCAAATTACGGATTCTTTGTTTGTATTCATCTAGAAAATATATAGATGATATAAATCGGTAGCTTCTGATTAAACGATTTCAGACTTATGTGCTATTCCGCAGATCAAACATTAGGTGGTTTTGCGTACTCGGTACTACTTTGTTTACATAACTGTATCATAATCTAAATCCGAACTGGGAACCAATATTCACAGAATGTAGTCACATCCATGAAACGTAAATAGTGACAGACAGTGGCCACCGATCACTGGTCATTTAGACTGACTCTATGTTGAACGTGTAGTTAGATCCCTATACCCCATTATAATCAGTATGTTTGTTTGGTGAATAATCTTGTTTCATCTTTTTGTATGGTAAACGTTTTTCAGGCGGAAGAGAGCATCTCTATTGTGTTATGGTTCTGGTGAACATTCTTGCTTGTGCCAAGAATTGTGTGTGGTGATAAGTGGCAAATCGTTGCACGTATTTATCCGTCCTATCTGTACCAGTTCCGAAAATAAATTCAGGTTTACTCGAACGTAACTCCAAGAACCTGCTTTTCTCTCCCCTCCAATAACGTAATCGGTCGGTTAAGTTCAATCCGAAATTGGTATCATTTTTCCCGTGAGACAGTATCTGTTTCATTACTGACTTCCTACAAATCTGCACCGATCTGACCCCGAGGCTGCATTTTGAAATTCGGGAGCAGCTCATATTCAGATGATGACTACCAATGAACATACGAATTGTACAGGAACTTGAACTTTCTTGGTTGAAGACAACAGATGTGCACTTCAACATTTGCATGACATTTGACCAGTTGAGATCGGAAGTGGGTTGTCGCACCGGCTTCCAGCAGGGGGCAAGCTTTATACACCTGCAACAACACACGGATACCAGAAATATTTGAGTTAAATAGTTATTGGCATTTCGAAACGTGCAATAATGCCATCTGAATTGCTTCAGGTTGTTTCATCCTGCCTTTCGTCACACAGAATCTGATAGACAGAATATGCGTATAATCAATCAACAGTCTGTATTTCAGAGTTCCCTCTTTGTGGTGACACCTACATGTATACATACGTAAGTAGCCTATCCTACAGTTTCTTGCCAATCTTTCAATTGGCACACGGAATCAGTAAAAAGAGTGTGTTGCTTTTATCATTAACCGGAGAATTTAAACTGAGAGCCTAATGCGAAGTTGAGTGGAGCCGGATAGACTAGCATGGAGAACGTATCGACATTGAGGTATAAATAGTTCTCAAATAAATATCAATCGAAACGTTATTCCAACTCACGTTTTGACTAATTAAAACTGACAGTAGACGTAGATGGCGCGGCTGGGAAATGTTGATAAATTGACCGAATGCGGATCCGCCCACCCTACAGCCGTTTTTGATATTATCTCGAGTTTATTTTCAACTGGGCCACGCAGGCAATAATTAATGTCAGTTCAGTTGTTTGCTTTATGCCCTCGAATTTCGGAAACATTGTGCCGATTTCGGCCAGTAGACGGTAATTTAATTTGGAATTTGCAGCACAGGCAGGCAGACAGGCAAGCGTAAACCATTTCGTTTTTTTTCTCTTTGCTAAACCGCACACTTTAAGAAGCAGCACTGGTATATAGATCAAACAGAGAGGATTAATTTGTCAAATGTCTAAATACGTATTTTACCCGGTTGTCTGTGACAGGCACCATACCAGGAGTATGATTAGTGTATTGCTTCCGAACCAGTAGCGGAGCTGTCTTCAAAACAAAATTGCCAATAGGGCATTCAAATGTTTATCAGTTTTGTTGTTATTCACCAACAATTGATTAAGGATCTCCCGTTGCTTCATCACAAGATTCATGTCAATTTCACAAGTTTGTTATACACCTTCAACCAATTCAACCTTTTGTAGAGTTTCATCGAATCTAGATTCGTCATCCATGGCTCGAAAGTTATGACATCCACTAGAAACTTACAATCACCTTTGGCGTATTTTGCTTTATGACAAATTGATAGTCACCCTGAAGCGCTATCAGCACTGGCCTTGATCAGGATGCTGTAAATTGAAGAACGATAAATTACATGAAAGATATGGTTTATTTTGATTGTTTTCCAGGGTGTAGGAGAAGATATTTGTGTGGAAGAATCAGGTTTTA